TTCTTGAACAGTGAACTTTATTACAGACACACTGTCTGATACTTTCCAACGCCGATGCACATTATTCCTTCATTTACTGTCAACAATAAATCCGTTTCCATAATGTTTGCATTCTGTCTCTAAACATACCAGCTGGTGTTTGTTTTTGCCGGTGTTACTGTTCGTACCAGGTCCAGTTTTTGTCTCATGTAAGCCACACATGTCCACTTTGTACTTTTCTGTCTATTGCTAACTGCTTTTGCTTCTCGTCCTGGATAAAGCCCCGTTCATTGAAAATTCCAACTGAAAAGATAATGACATTGGAAGTTCAATAGCATTTTCCGAATATTGCCTTTCTCAGTATGCAATGTTTTAAATACGTAATTACTGCGTAGAGTAGCCATTGACTACTCCGTCAATTAATTTTCTTTATAAAAAAAAATATTAATGCTATTGTACATGTTCGTATTCTCATTTATGCTATTAAGTACTTTAGATAGAAAAGGCCTAATATGGAAATTCAACAATTGATTAGGAAATCCGTTATTAATAAACGTTTGTTTTACGTTGTTTAATTCTTTAAAGAAAAGCATGCGAGGGGATGAATTCTCGTGCGCTCTCTTGAGGAAGTTTTTGAATAACACCTATTTTATACCTAAGAGGACATTCACTGGAGAAATCAAGATGGCTAGAGTCTTTACTGGTGGTTGTATTATAAAATGAAGTTGTAAATATATCATTACTAATCTCAACAAATACTTTTACGAATAGGTGTTTATTTTTTCACTAAGTTCACTAAGGGGACCGAGCTTTGTTGAAATGTAGTTTTCAGATTGTCAATTACCTTTTATGTTATCAGCTAAAATAAATATATTGTCTACATAACAAACATGAATTTTCGGTTTAATAAATTTATTAAAAACCTTATTTTTAATAATTGGGGAAGTACGACTCGAGAGTGTTATCCCATACTTACTCCATCAGTTTGTGTTTAAAGAGTAACATTCTGGTTATAAAAAGGAACTCTGGTGATGCAAGCGAGTAATAGTTTTCTTAAAGCATTTGGTTGGATTGATGGAGGTGGAATTAAATTATTTTTATACAAAGAACTAGCAGTAGAGCCCGGCGTTGCCCGGGGATGTAACAGTAAGAGATAGATCAAGTATCGACCATCATAAAGACTGAAAAATAAAATTGACAAAGATTATTGTTTAAGGTTGACGGACACGCATGTCTTAATTAGTTTTTTGTTTTTTGTTTTTTTTACGAATTGGTCAAACTCAAACAAAAACATTGTTTTCAATCGTTATGAGTAAACCGATTGAATAGAATTTTATTATAAACAATTGTCTTGTGAATGGAATTTTTAAAGCATTCTGAATGTAAAAATAAAGAAAAAAGTGTGCAAGACAATAAGAAACACTACCTGCCAAAAAAAAGTGAAGTTTTGTTGAAATCGGTTGAAAAATATAGGAAATCCAATCCCATATATAAACGAGCACACACACACACACACACACACGCACACACACAAACAACATGGGTTTTATAATAAGTATAACTCGATATGATTTGTCCCCCTTTCAGTCTCGCGACAGCAATGCCTCTTAATCGTGTTTTCAAATTGATTTCGTGCAAAAACAATTGTATTTTTCCAATTTTTGGCGCTGTCAGAACCACCGCAAGGTAATTTTACGTAGTCCTGTGAAGTTTTGTTGAAATTGGTTGAAAAGTGTAGGAAATCCGATCCAATATATAAATGAACACACACACACACAACCTGGGTTTTATAATAAGTATGATTAAGAATAATATCAATAGTTTCTGTAACAGGAACGTGAGTAAATAAATTCTCTACGTCAAGCGACGCATGAATGCCATGGTTTGATTTTACTTTTTATATTTTTAAGTATTTCGAGGAATTCATGGGCATATTTAATGCTTTAGTTATTCGGAAGACATGGGTTAATATCATTGAGAAATTTTAATAGTTGGTATATACATGTTGGAATCTGAGAAATAATAGGTCGTAATGGACATCCCGCTTTGTGTATTTTAACATAACCGTATAAATATTCAAGTTGGTAATCTCCAGCAATGCTATTTATTTTACGGATCCTACAACAGAAATGTCGGATCTTTAGAGTTGCAGTAGTGGTCTTATTCAACTTAGTAAATTTAGAACGATGGGGTATATATATATATATATATATATATATATATATATATATATATAGTCAAACCTAGTGAGCCAGTCAAACCTAGTGAGCCAGACAAACCTACCCAGGTTTCACCTAAGCGGATCGTCAGGGAAAGCTGGCTTATTATTAAAGCTTTCCCTGACGACCCGCTTAGGTGAAACCTGGATAAGTTTGTCTGGCTCACTAGGTTTACCTAGGTCTGCTCTACGGTTGAGCTCTTTTAGTCAGTTGTTTACTCGTGTCGGTTTTTTTTCTTTGGGCTTCAAACCTGTATCTGTGCGATTTTTTTCGAAAGACTTTCATGTTTCTAGCTCTTTCTTTTTTTAAAACCTTTTTTTCCTTCGAGATTGATTTGATTATTGGCAGAACAAAAATTCGAAGGTTTTTCGAGACAAGTATAGTTACCTATATATATATATATATATATGTGTGTGTGTGTGTGTGTGTGTGTGTGTGTGTGTGTGTGTGTGTATGTATTTTCATCCACAGACAGGATGTATCACAGCTCATCAGTGTGGCTAGTTAGACATCCGGTTACCTCTAGCTATTATAGAAACCCGACTGAATTAACGTCAGTCGGGGATTTCTACCACAAAGCCGTTGGCGCACGGCAGGGGTGAAGGTGAAGTTAAGCGTATTTATTTTTATATGAACACACAGTGACTGAGAGAACTCGGTTCGATTTACCGAAGAGTCTTGCATTATTAGCAGTAATAGTCACTGTTTACAAACCCACACTTCCTCCCCAGAGAGTTCAACCGAAATAAATTTTTCAGGAGTATATGAATAAAATGAGAAAAGAGGAAAAAATATTCTTAGCCGAAGCGTTTCGTTCTCGAAGGAAATTTATCATGGCAATGTTGGATTTATTTTGTTGTCCGTGTCTATATACGAAAGCGAGGATGTCATCGGTTTATCAAGGCTTTTAAATTTGAGAACGTCAAACGATTAAAAAAATTAATAAAATATTTAAAATACTTTGGTCTTTCCTCTTAATAATAACGTAATTATTTTGACGATAAAACTGTGTTTATCAAGTTTGGGATCTTTTTTCATCATGGTATGCTCAATATATATATATATATATATATATATATATATATATATATATATATGTATGTGTGTGTGTGTGTGTTTACTAATAATAATAATAACTCGTAAAAATTTCACGGTTTTCTTATTTTAATACTATTATTAATATTATTTTTTCAGTTAGTCATTGACTAAGCTCACGAGTATAAAATAGCTGTTGAAATTCCCCTGTCGCATCGTTCACTATTGAAGCTGAACAGCTTTAACAAAATACTGCAATAACATACGCTGCTCGTTATTTAAAGAAGTAAGGGGGTACAAATGAAATGAGTCATGATCTGTTTCGCATCTTTTCCGCGAAAAAGATCATAAATGCACGAGAGGTTTTACTTGAAAAACAAAAAACACAAAAATAAAAAAAAATGCCGGAATTTTTTTCTCCTCCATTTTTGTTTAGGCTTAAATAAAAGCGAAATATATACAATTTATAAACATTCTCTATTTGTTTCTTATCCTCTCAGATATCTTCCCTCCATACTCTTATTTCATTCATTTATAAAATCCCTTTCCTTCGTACTCTTATTTCATTCATTTGTAGAATTTCCTTCACTCCGTACTCTTATTTCATTCATTTGTAGAATTTCTTTCACTCCGTACTCTTATTTCATTCATTTGTAGAATTTCCTTCACTCCGTACTCTTATTTCATTCATTTGTAGAATTTCCTTCACTCCGTACTCTTATTTCATTCATTTGTAGAATTTCCTTCACTCCGTACTCTTATTTCATTCATTTGTAGAATTTCCTTCACTCCGTACTCTTATTTCATTCATTTGTAGAATTTCATTCACTCCGTACTATTATTTCATTCATTTGTAGAATTTCATTCTCTCCGTACTCTTATTTCATTCATTTGTAGAATTTCCTTCACTCCGTACTCTTATTTCATTCATTTATAAAAATCCCTTCCCTCCGTACACTTTATTTCATTCATTTGTAAATTTCCTTCCCTCCCGTACTCTTTATTTCATTCATTTGTAAATTTCCTTCCTCCGTACTCTTATTTCATTCATTTTAAAAATTTCATTCACTTTTTTCATTCATTTATAGTATTCTCTTCTCTCCGTACTCTAAATTTCTAGCCATTCTTTATTTTTCATCTTTAACAACAAAACTAACTTTGAGATTTTTAACCTCTGCTCCTAAACTGACAATTGCTGCCAGGAATGGAAGTAACTATTGCCAAAATATAAATAAATACACCCACTCATTATGACCCGTTATAAAACTTAGACCGTATCCTTAACAACATTTCTCTGTTCGACTTTTCTGTTTCATGTAATTTATGCTATGTGTAGATAAACACAGGTGTTTTCTATACCCAGCGACCTTCTTTTTAAATAAAAAGAACAAACTTCGTCATAAATAACATCGTAACTAACAGTACTATCAACATCTGGTGGGTTTCATTAATTGGCTGTCACCATCAGCACTAGAAATGCAAACATCCAACAAAGTGTCCACTTATCACACTGAGTCGAAATGTATCGACATGTAATGATATAAAAGATTTAGAATCATAAATATATCGATTGTGGACCTCAACAATGCGAGCCTCTATTCACTAATATACGTCCCGTCCGAACTATTACTATTTGAATATAAGCAGTATTTAACAGGATAAATGTTATATGTACTTGAAATTCAGGTGCAATACAAGTCATGACCAAATTTAAAATTAACTTATAAAGGGAAAAACTGAGCTCTCAGAGTGACATTTCTGGACTTACAGCCACATCATGTTGAAACACCGATTCCCCTACGATCACCGAAGTTAAGCAACGTTAAGCCTGGCCAGTAGCGATATTGGAGACCTCTTGTCAATACCAGGTGGTGTAAATTTGAAGGTGCAGCTGATGTAATGAAAAATGGCTAGGAAAAGCCAAGTTCCAATTCCAGTTGGGTTCATTTTATCGGATTACGCGCAAATACCCTTAGGAAGGTGAAGTGACCAAGTAAATGGTGTGCAGAAATAACAAAATAAGTGTTACAGATATATTATATATTAAACAGTAAGTATAACAGAAGTGTATTACACGATAAGTGAGTGTGTGTCGGTGGAGCCAGCGTTCAATTTATTCGACTGTTCTCCCAAGGCCTTCTCTCCTACTAATCTTATAGTAGGCGAAAGAATCGAACATAGACTCTTTAGCGGAAGGACACCACAACACTATCTATCTATCTATCTATCTATCTATTTTAACCAAGTAAATGATTAAAGAAATAACAAAACAAGTGTTGCAGAAATATCATATATTAAACAGTAAGTACAACAGAAGAGTATTACACGACTAGTCAGTGTGTGTCGGTGGAGCCAGCGTTCAATCTATTCGACTGTTATATTTAACAGTCCCCACCTCACTAGGGATGTCTGTGGCACAAGGCCGGTTTCTTGTGGGTATTCCGAGCCCGTGGGTTCGGCCTACAATATTCCCTTTGAACCCGCCTAAACGGGTTCAGGGACTGCCTACCTCCCCGGACGAAACTTTGTCCTGCTGCAAAGCTTCGTCCGAGTTCCTCTCTGCTCAAGGCAGAGAGTTTGACAGTTGAACAATCTATTCGACTGTTCCCCCCAAGGCCTTCTCTCTTACGAATCTTATAGTAGGCGGAAGAGTCCAACATAGACACTTTAGAGGGAGGACACCACAACAGAAGGGTAGGAATCAACCTCTTCACCCTCTGGCTATGGGTTAATTAGTAAAAATTTTATCAATAAAGCATTATTATTTTTTTTAAATTCTTACAATCCAAAAATGTTTTCTGGCTTTAAATCGCTTCAAATGGGTTGATGAACCATAAAAAAAAAAACAAATCAACCAATCAAGTTGTTTAGTTTATATGATTGTTACAAGATCTTGGTATATTATGAAATAAATTAAGCCCAACATTGATCTCTATCTATAAAGGCAGGATGTGTGTGTGTGTGTGTGTGTGTGTGTGTGTGTGTGTGTGTGTGTGTGTGTGTGTAACGAATGCACGGTCGCAATTTTCGACGGATTTGCACCAAAATATTTACATGCACATGCTCCAAGTTAGTGGGAAGACCAAGACCGACTTTGCATTTCCCAGCTCCCATCAATAGTGAAAATAATCGACTTTTTCATGCTTCTACGGCAGTTTTCATGTAGTTTGCGGCTATTTTGTACTGGACAAAGTTAGAGCCTATAGTTGGCTGCCACGAATAGGCAATAAGATTCTATTGGCCAGCGTGAGAGCCAACAGTTGACTGGCACGAATGTTAACTCAAAAAATCGATATCTGCATTCGTCACAAGTGGGAACGTTGATTCTGATTCCGCAGAACTGGGTTGGGTCTGAAAAAGTATTTGTTGTTAACATTCTTTTTTCATTCGGTTTTTCCAGTTACGAGTCCTTTTTTCAAGCTAATCGTTTTGTGTTCATTTTGTTTAGTTCTTTTTTCGTAACAGATTTAATGTTTAGTATAGAGCTTAGAAAAAATTCGCAGTGTGAGATAGGCAAGAAGTAAGGCATGTAGGAACATCATCACGGCAAAGGGCACTCCTTTAAAGGCAAGGGAGGGCAAAAATATTTTAAGTCAAGTGATAGCGATTGCTATATGAGTCGTACGATTTTTGAATCAAGCACGGGCAACGCCGGGCCATACTGCTAGTTTTAATATATTATTATATTGTCATTTTTATAGATACAAATATTTAAGTAAATGCTCTGTTTATAGTAAACAATATTAAAAACATTTACTGGCCTGAATGTCCGAGAAATTTCATAGAAAATATGTGTACCTCTGACAATAAACAATAAATATATTAAAATAATTGTCGGGCTTACCTTGAAAGTGCTCTATATCATGGGAAACAGGGGGTACTCTAGAAAGGTACATAACGCTAAAAACAAAATAATACCTAACAATACCGTACCCTGAAAGTGCTCCAGACCATTGCATAAAATTTAAATAACGTACAAAGTAAGCAACTCATAAGAGAGTATGCTACAAATACACACAGCAGAACAAGAACTCAATGCAATAGTAAGTTGCAGAGCCTTAATACTTCTAAATAAATTCATATATAAATTATATATTTTAATATATTTTATGTTTAAATGATCTGTTTATAATAAATAGTATTAACAACATTTACCGGCCTGAATGTCCGAGAAATTTCATAGAAAATATATCCTCCGACAGGAATGAAACCTGTATGCTATACGAAACTGTCATATAGCCTGGCGTACTAAATTATTTAGCTACAGAGGAAAAGTCAAATTACTGTTTTTAAACTAAAAATTTCCCGTGAAAGTTACATCTACTTAAATATTTGTATGTATAAAAAAAAACATATCAAGAGAAAATATATTAAGATCTATAAAGACTATATTATATTGCTTTTTTATCCGAAAGTATTTCAATAGTCTCTGCTGTTGGTATCATACAACTTAATAAAACTTGTCGCATGTTGCTTGGAAATAATGTGGGGTATCCGAGCCCGTAGGTTCGACCAAAAATTCCCCGTAGACACCGTATAAAACGGGGTCGGGTTTTCTGTTTCCCGAGACGAGACTCTGCCTTTCGACATAGCCTCGACTGGGGATCCCCTCTGATAGGAGGCAGAGAGTTTGACCAGCACAGCTGGAGACGAATCTCCAACCGCAGGGTATCTACAAAACCGCCCCACGCAGTCAGATGTGTCATAAGCCTGAATTTAAAGTGCGGTATCCGAGCCCGTAGGTTCGGCCAAAAATTCCCCGTAGACACCGTATAAAACGGGGTCGGGTTTTGTTTTCCGAGACGAGACTCTGCCTTTCGACATAGCCTCGACTGGGGATCCCCTCTGATAGGAGGCAGAGAGTTTGACCAGCACAGCTGGAGACGAATCTCCAACCGCAGGGTATCTACAAAACCGCCCCACGCAGTCAGATGTGTCACAAGCCTGAATTTAAAGTGCGGTATCCAAGCCCGTAGGTTCGGCCCAAAATTCCCCGTAGACACCGTATAAAACGGGGTCGGGTTTTCTGTTTCCCGAGACGAGACTCTGCCTTTCGACATAGCCTCGACTGGGGATCCCCTCTGATAGGAGGCAGAGAGTTTGACCAGCACAGCTGGAGACGAATCTCCAACCGCAGGGTATCTACAAAACCGCCCCACGCAGTCAGATGTGTCATAAGCCTGAATTTAAAGTGCGGTATCCGAGTCCGTATGTTCGGCCAAAAATTCCCTGTAGACACCGTATAAAACGGAGTCGGGTAACTGTTACCCGAGACGAGACTCTGCACTTCGATATAGTTCCCTTTGGCGATCCTCTCTGCCCGGAAGCAGAGAGTTTGACCAGCACATCTGGAGACGAATCCAACTGCAGACCAACATACAGTATTTACTACTGTATTTCTGGGAATAAGCACATATACATTATCGTCCGTAGCTATGCTACAACAGTTACCCTAACGGTCTACTTAGCCATGATATGATTTAAATTGGGTTTGGACCTAAAGTGCCTATTCATATTTTATAAAAGTCTCACTCTTGTTTGCGCGAAATAAACGATTTAAACTCAAAATATAGAGACAGTAAGTAAGCATAAAAATAGTGGAAACGTTTAATCTAAAGACGTTTTTAAAAAGTAATCGTGTTATTACACCGTAATAAGACAAAGGCTACGTTGATTGCAACAAAACCAAGTTGATGTAGATGGTATCAAAATAAAGAGGGCGTAGATCTTAGCAAAACAAGGACTGCATACATAGATTCCATCAAAACAAGGATTATGTAGATGGCAGCAAAACAAAGATGGCGTAGATAAAAGAAAAAACAAAGATGGCGTAGATGGAAGAAAAACAACGATGGTGTAGGTAAAGGCAAAAACTAAGATGGCTCAAAATCAAAAGCTGCGTAGAAGGCAACAAAACAAAGATGTCATGGATAAAATTTAAATCATGATGGCGTATCAGAAATAAAAAAAAAATATAGCATAGGTTAAAGCAAAACCAAAATGCCGAGTTTATCTTTATAAGTGTTAGATTAGGTAAACATAGCGTGTTGCTGCCATTTTTTTGTTTCATTTCACCCCAAGAAAGGCGATAAAGCCACTAAAACGCAATGGTTTACTGAGCGTGAAAAAATCTAAAAAAATGTTATTGAGGAGAAAGTATAATAAAAGAACAAGATTCAAGGAGACAGAAAATAGCAATTGACATTGCATTTAAACTTTTTTAAGATTGTTGTTGTCAGGTAAGTAAGAGTCTGAGAGAAAGAAACGTTAGCAAAGAACTTAAGGTTATATCGAGCAATTTCAACGCTAACCTCACTAGCCTGTCTTCCTAGAGTATCGTTGATGATTGATTTTTCATCCTACAAGTCTTTTCCCACAGACGAGCGTCTCGCTGCTCTATTGCTACTTCCACGGCGTGTGTTCTGACGCGCTACATTCATTAATCCCAACACCTTTACAACTGGGGCCCACCATGCCACGTACACAAGAGTGAATCATCCTCATTCCCTCCGTATTCCCTTAGTAAGTTCCACTCAGATAGCTGCTTCCCAAGAACTGCTGCTTTCTGAAAAGGAATCGCGGCCAGATACTTTCCCAATCACTTGACCTCTTCAATTCTCGGGTTAATCGTTTTCTTTCCTTTTTAACTCCATGAACATTCACTTCTTGCCTTTTCTTATGCTTATACTACATCACACGGTAACCCTCTACATTGAGTGGCTCTTGGGCCTTGTATTGAGTGAACATTCACTTCTTGCCTTATCTTAAGCTTATACAACATCACACGATAACACTCTGCATTGACTGGCTCTTAGTCCTTGTATTGAGTGAACGTTCACCTCTTGCCTTTTCTTATGCTTATATTACATCACACGG